GAAGGAGGAAGGGAAGGAGAGAAGGAGAGAAGAAAGGAGGGAAGGAAGGAGGGAAGGAGAGAAGGAGAGAAGAAAGGAGGGAAGGAAGGAAGGAGAGAAGAAAGGAGGGAAGGAAGGAAGGAAGGAGGGAAGGAGAGGAGAGAAGAAAGGAGGGAGAGAAGGAAGGAGGGAAGGAAGGAGAGAAGGAAAGAAGAAAGGAGAGAAGGAGAGAAGGAAGGAAGGAGGGAAGGAGAGAAGAAAGGAGGGAGGGAAGGAGGGAAGGAGAGAAGGAGAGAAGAAAGGAGGGAGGGAAGGGGGAAGGAAGGAGGGAAGGAAGGAAGAAGAAGTAGGATTACAACAATCCTACTATAAGGATTGTTATATAAGATAAGATGGGTTTATGGGATGGTAAGAAAGCAATCTTCAAGTATATTGTCAACTGTAGGGGAGAAAAATGGTTACAAATACATATTATTAATAACAGTTATGAGATCATATAATTGTGAATGCATATATGAGAAATATTTTTTTTTTAAAAGAAAAGTGCTTCCCGGAGTTTGGTAAAGTAAAAAACCGGAGTTTGTTAAAACAAATCCAAATGTCAAAGTTATTAAGTAACAAATCCCGAAATCCCACTGCCCCGTTGACTTCCAGCAAGGGGAAAAGGTGACGGGGGGAGCGCTTTCTGTTTGTCCTCCCCCCCCCCCCGCTCTCCCAATTTTCGGGGCCCCGGGGAGTCTTTTTTCATTGGGGGGGGGGCCAAGAGGAGGAGGAGGAGGATGCAAGCGATCCTCTGAGCGTACGCAGAGCGCCCCAAGGGTTTCGGAGGGTGGCTTCACTCCGGAGTAAGGGAGAGAGCGAGCGTCGCTCTCGGGACCCCGATCTCTCCGAGAAGAAGACGCGGTCCCGGTGCGCTCCGGAGCGCGAAATACCTGAAAATTCTGTTCCCACGGTGTTTCCATGTCTTTTCCTGGGCTGGGCGGTGGGCTAGGACGAAGCTGGGGCTGCGGAGGGGCGACGGCGGAGATCGGGGGTCTCCGAAGGAAGAGGAGGAGCCGCGCACCCGCAGCAGCAACCGGGCGCCCGCTCCCTTCGTGCCGATTACCCGCGGATCGCACCTGGCCCCGGAGTCCGTAGCCGCATCTGGGAGCGCGTTTAAGGGCGGGGGGCGGAGAATATTCCTGCTATTACGGTGGGCTTGGCTAAAAAAGATTGGCCGGTGGGAAAGGGGCGGGGAGGTTCCCCCCCCCCCCCGAGAGCCTGGCGGGGGCGGGGACGTGCGTGGAAATGGGACCTCGAACGGCGAAGCGAGGCGGTGGAGATTCGCGGCTCAAGAGCTCCCCCTGCTCGCCCCGGAGATCAGGAATCCCGGGGACCCTCCGATCTCCATCCTGAGCTTGGGGAGACGACGTGGGAAGGGGG